TTGGTAGGGTGTTTCTTGTCACTAAGTGTTATGGTGACTGTTAGTTTGTCTACCAACAATCATAGTTTGTTTGTGCAGTTACTTACCATAACTATGATTGTTGGTAGTGTTTGTACAGTTACTTACCATAACTATGATTGTTGGTAGGGTTTGTACAGTTACTTACCATTAGTGACAATAAACAAGAAAAACTAACCTTATAGAAAGAAGTGATGAATACGTAAGTAAGATTTATAAAAAACCTGCGTGATGTTATCTTAGTCTACAACTAATAAGTAAAAACTGGATAATATTTTAGTTTTCTAACTTACCATCTGCCAAACCTGCATGATGTTATCTTCAGATACCGAGCAGATCACCCATGGTTCATTGGGATTCCAGGAAAAGTCAGATATTTTTGCTGTGTGACCTCCGTGAATAAACTGAGATTGGAAAGAAATTTATTCATGACAATATTATTACGGGTTCTTAATCTCGGTAATGTCTAATTTCCACGACCTTATTTTTAAAAACAAAATAATCTAATTTATCGTAATTTGTAACAGAAAGCATGCCCACACTGTTAAATGTACTAACATTTCTAACTGATAAAGAACCCCAAATTTCATGAAGAAAATGATTTAGTTTGTTTGAATAACTTCAATCTTTGACTTGCATTCAAGCAATTTGACAAATTACAGCCTAAAACTGACTTAAATATAAGATATTTTAGTGAAATTTCTGTTGTGGGATGTCAGATTATAAACATTTAAGTTCTATAGAATTAAACAGATGTATAAATATCAAGAAAAGCATCTTCAGACCAACAACCAAGGATAACCTTTCTTACCATGTAATTGACAATACACATTTCAGAACTCACTCTTTGAGCTCCCACACAAAACTTTGAAGCAGCCATCACAGGTTCTTATAATGCACCTATCTTGAAATACAATATATTTTACCAAAGTTCTTGCTTTCACACTGCAAGTCACTAGTTGCAGTGAGCTACAGGGCACCTGTATGACAACTATAATTAACATCTGAATTTTCCACTTTCAATGAAGAGTAAAAAATAATGTTCCTGTAAGTACACATTTTTTCACGAGCTGAAGTATTGAAAAATAGGCTGCTACAGGAGCTTTGAGCCATTATAAATATTTCAGAAGTTACACATTTGAAAAAACAGGTTTTAAAACTTTGGTGGGAGGCCTGTGATTGTATTGTTAAACTGAAACTGGTACTGAATGAATTCATAAAGAGGAAACTTTAGTTTGTCATCTTAGAAACAAGCAAACAGGTTATTTCTAAGACTTTTCTTTTCCAAAGGTTAATTATCTCCAAGTAAAGGTCATTACCTTGGAGGACTCGACCCTTTGGAATTTGAGTTATATAAAAATGTGGTTCAAAAATCAATTTCACTTTTGTATTCTTTACAGAAAATGGACCTCTAAGAAATATGAAACGTTTCTGACAAATCAATTAAAGCATTTGTTTGTTTGCTGTTAAGAGCAAAGCATGTGATCATTTGCGTGATGATAAATTTCCAAAATATTGTCACTTTTATTTTTTGAAAAACATTAAAAATATTTCAGGTTAGGATTTCAATGTTTTGATTGGTCAGAAATTCCATTTTATATATCCAGTAAATTTGAATATCCATTCGTTAACATATTTCTTTTGATATTTTATTTTGCCAATTTGAACAGTTACCACTTCTGGTTATAAACTATGATTTATTGGTTGCCAAGGGTCCGACTTTTCAAAATAGTGTCAGGTCAAGCTAGGTAACAATTTTGCTAATATTATTCTTGGTTGAGGTCAATTTATATCTAATAAATAGTTTCCTTTCCATAATTAATAATTTCTTTAATTTATGTGCATTGTTTGAATATAATAAACTCAATAACTATGGACTTGAATGTTTGGAACATTTCACTGGCTCTTACTATATTCTCTAAACCTAACCCGATGTCTTCTCATAGCAGAAGATTTCAGTATCTTTCAAATAAATATGCTTTAATATTAAAACATTTTCTGGAATGAAAATAGTATCTAATGAAACTATCATAAAGTTCCCAGGTCTGTGGTTTGTTCCTAAGTCTTCTAAACTTCCCATTAGATTCAATTGTTCATCCTTACAGAAGCTAGGTCTTGTCAGTTTCCCAAAAAACAATAAATTACAGCTCAAACCACTTTATTCATTCTACACATAGATAAAAAAGCTTATAATCTGCTCTATCTAATGCTATTTAAACTTAACCTCCAGCATGTTTGTAAAACTTATTTTCATTAGTAACAAATGCTGTGAGCCAGAGGTTGTAATAATAAAATCTGTGAAAAACAAAATTTGGATAATTGTATTATTAGGGGATAATAGTTTTCTTTTACACTTTGGGATGGGTAAAAAAAATTCAAAAAATAATCTGTAAGTGTTATTCATAAGTAAAACTCATCTGAGTTGACCAGAACTCTGAAACTTTTTTTAAATTCACTCAAAACCTAAAAGGTGCTCACTGGACGTAACAGGGTTAATCTCTTACTACAAGATTATTTTAGTATATTTTTATGTCTTTTTACACAATATTCGTTATTACAAAAAGAACAAAACTATATTTAAGATAAACGGTGTTACTATCCGAGATTACTTCAATGGGAAGATATCTTAAATTTATGATGTACTAAATAAATATGGAATAGTAATGTCCAAAAATATAAAATCTGGAGTAACATTCTGTCACAATTGATAAACTTAAGACAACATCAGTTCTGAGCTCTAACCAGAAGTTCTGGAGGACCATCTTCGGCATCCTCGGCAGACTGCTCTTCTCCAATCTTACTGAGATCCCAAACGTGTAGTCGTCGGTCAGTGCCACTGGATGCTAAGATAGTTTCATTATGTGGAGACCACTGAACTTGAAAGATCTCATCCTTGTGAGACTCGAAAGAATGCAGCTTGAGTTTGAGGTTTCGCAAATCCCACAATGCTACAGTCTGGTAAAGGACAAACATATTGCTGTTACACTTAATGTTTATTCAGTATTTGAAAAATAGTGAGCCATACAGACTACACTTAGAAAGGTAATTTGTCAAAGCAAGTTTTATAATAATAACAACAAAAAAAAGGGCTTCAATTTTTCTTAAATATTAACTCTCTCAACATGGACTCGGTCAATTTGACCGACCTTGTGATCTCTTTGTATTTGTATAAAGTCTTTTAAAGATTTGATACTACCAACTTTTAATATAGCTTGTATATCTTTACAAATTTGGCAGTCTTTGAGTAAACATTGTCTTTCACACAAAAAAAAAATATATTTTTTTTTGTGAAGTATTTTAAATACGCCAAAAAAAGATTTGTCCATGAATATATCAAGTATTTGTTTTGAATAGTCCGTGTGCAAAGTGATTTTCATGTTAAAATTAAAAATATTTTTCTTCATCTCAAAAATCTCAGAGTTGATTTGTGTAATCTCTAAAACCTTCTAAATGCATTTCAATGTTTGTTTTCAGTACAATTTTATATTTTGTCTGTTATTTTCTCTACCCTAACTCTATATAACATTGGTCAATTTGACTGACCTCATAACCACCACAAAAAAATATCTAAATTACCCTTTTTTTTTTCTTGAATAACTTCAAATTGTAACATCAAATTAAATTTGTTTATCCTAAGTAACTTTATACTCATAACAGTAAACATCTATTTATAATTAAATTTTATTGTTTATTGCCCTTTGAACCACGTCTAACTACTTTTTGCACCATTACAAGTTGTAAATCACTTGGAAAATGTGGAGGTCTCGTTACGTTATCGAATTATGTTACCCATGAACTGCTCCATGCATGCCTCCTGAAACATTTTTATTATATTATTATTTACATTACTTAATCTAACCTTAACTAACCTAAACAAGTCCCTATTTTTACATTTCAGTTACTTTTATAATAATAAATAAAGAATAAACATGACAAACAATAAATATATATATAAGTAATTACCAGAATCTTCTTTTTTCTTGCTGTCAATTGTCGATGACACTTAACCCTTTTTTTATAGTAATGGTAGTAATGCACTAAGTTTATATTTAATTAAATAATGTTCCAAAGAACATATACTAATAGCATGCAAAAATTACACAATTTTTCCCCTAACTCTCAAAATTTTTCTGGCTTTCTAACTATGCGACATGAGCTGTTACAAATTCATCCAAGCTAGTTGTTATCTTTCCTGTGGAAACAAAGATTGTAATAACAGTGAAACTGATGACATCCTGTTCAGAACACAGTTATAAATACATTATTTGATAGAGGAAAACCTTGACCTTCTATTGGTTCCATATATAATGAAACATAGGAGAGAACTATCAATGAATTGTGAAAGAGAGGATGTGACAGGTGGGTGTGGCAGGAGGAGTCTCATTTTCTATTTGATGGTTCTGCAACCAAACAAAATTAAAGGCTATAAAAATTATGGTTCGTCTGAGTAATGATGATTTTAAAGTGAGTAATTTACGTTCAATTTCATATTTATTGGAGGGGTGGTGGATAAAATAGAGAAGAGAAGATGCCTAGAGAAAATGTGTTGTGTGTCACACTAGGGTAAGTTCAAAATTTTTTAAAATATTACCTTATAAAATTAAGAACTTAAAAGTTATATACTATTAAAATATGGATTATTAGCTAAGATTTTAAGCTATACTAATTGGTATAATAAAGAGTACATTAAAAATTTTGAAAGTATGTCACTAAAACCTCGTGATATGCACAGTAAAGGATGCCCATCGAGATATGGTTAAGTTCAGGATTACAAAACTCTATGAAGGTTGCATAACTAATTCAGAATATGTACTGGCCATTAAAATATAAGTAATTCTGCAACCATCTTGTAATTGGAAATTTTATGCAAGTACATAAAGAATTACATGAATATTACTCTTAAAACAATCTTAAAATTAACAAATATTTAAAGAAACAGAAACAACCAAGTTTAATGAATATTATTTAAGAGATTTAGATCATTTTGTAAACCAAATTCCAAATAATGAACTTCTCATGCAACACCACAACTTATTACCAAAAACAGTGACTTTAGTAAATATGTATGTGTAACACTTTCCTAAAATATTTTTTGGATTAACCCTATCGCTATGGGTCACAGGTCAAAGGCCATGTCATTTTGTTTGTTGACTTGCATTCACAATTTTATTGAACTACTGTGTTATGAATTTATAAAGTTTTACTAAAAAACAAACATTTGAAATGTATTTAGTAGGTTTTATAGATTACACAAATAATATTTGGAACAAAGAATAGATTTTTAATCATAACATGAAAATCACTTCCACTTGGACCAAGAACAAAACAGACTTGATATTTTCACAAACAAATCTTTAGTAAAAATACTTTATTAAAAAATCGGATTTTTTGTGTACAAGAGACTTGTGATCATTACTAAAAGTCTACCAAATTTTGTGAAGATACACATACTGCATCAAAAGTTATAGTACAAGTACTTAAGGTGTGCAGATGTTTATACAAACTATCTCGTGTATTTTATACCAAGCCCATTGCGAAATGGTTAAGTATGCCTATCATGTCTGTTTCATAACTTATAGTTTAAGAACAGGATGTCCATAAAGTCTAGACCTTAATTTGATTTTTAATACGACCTAATTTTGTATATTGATTACAGATAGAAATCTAAAGGGGTAAATATGGCATTGTCCAGACTTTGTGGACACCCTGTAGTTTTTAATAAATACCATGAGAAGCAAATGATGAAAACCACGTGTACAGACAATGATTTCAATAAGCTGAACAACAACAGACTAAGTGGAATTTATTAAACAGTAAAATATCCATTTTGTTTATAAACAACAATAGCTACAATCCTATTTAACTCTACGGTAAAACCTTTGTGTGATGGTACAATACTTCTCAAGAATCTTACCTTATCTGCAGAACCTGTGGCTAATATAAATTCACTGTAGGGGTTGAAAGATAAGCAATTTACTTCAGCCGTGTGGGCATCAACAGTGTGGCTGGGTTTATTGGTGGCATTCGAACGGGTATCCCAACTAGAGAATAGTTATTTAAACAAAATTTACTTATTCTGTTTCGAACAAATACTCTCCTATTAATGTAAAAAATAAGATAAAGTTTTTTATGTGACAACATTACCAATTAAAATGTTAATTCCAAGAAGCCCATTCTAAACATTCCATTTATATGTCAAATTGTTCCTATAATTTTTGGTTGATAATGAATAAATTAAGAAAAATTCAACTTTAGTTATAAACAGTCATCCACTAATACGTTTCCAAATTCTTCACAATTCCTTTAGTAGTGTAGGAAATCTGTTTTTTGTAGCTGCAAAGTAGTTTAATACTTGGGAGGGTCGGTATCTTGTTGACTACGGTGATATCGACATCTAGCCACATATGTGAAACTTAACTGCATCATTCAATATGAGAGAGAGAGAGAGAAAAAAAAGGATTTTAAGTCTGATTCTTTTCTGAAGTCTAATGCTCTGGTCTTTCATGTTGGTCACACTGTCCATCCTTGGTCTTGTTAGTCTTACAAGGGTAGCACCAGTTTCCTCAGAACAACTATGACCATACTGGCCCAACTTGTGACTTTCAGTAACTGTTACAAACCAAATGGTCACTTTCATCCGTTCTGTGTAGATTATATCTGGAGTAATATTTGGTATTTCTAGGAGCAGTAAAACACATCTGTATATTGCTGGGCAGCAACTGAACCAGTTTATTCTGGTTATCTTTTCCCAGACAATGTTTAGATCTCTTTTATGGTAATTTTTCTAAGCAGGATTAAACAAGGCCAAATCTTCAACATGTTTTCATTCCATGAGAAAGAACACCTGGAAACTTCCACACACACAAAAATTTTAAATTTCCTAGGCAATAAGTCTTTCACGAACATCGTGCCAATGTTTTGTTTCTAGATTTCCAATATGGTTCACTTTCAATGAAGTCTAATTATCTCAACTTTCTGAAAGAGCTCCACACGGTCCATTGACTTTTCATGTGCTGACAAATCTTCCAATTCTCTGTTTTCTTTGACAATAATGAAGAATTAGCCTTGCCAAATACCTTGCAGTATAAACAAAACAATGAATCACATCTAAATAAATACCAAACTCACTGTCTTTGTACTTCTACATTCAGAAATCATGTTAACTTCCTTTCCTTGTCAATTATGGAAAAGTCAAATCCTGCAGCTGTACTGAATCCATTTCAAATAAGAAATACCATATCGTTAAATTGATATTTGGCCATCTAACTGGATCACCTAACATAAATATGCAGGTATGTTCCCCCCATCTAACTGGATCACCTAACATAAATATGCAGGTATGTTCACCCATCTAGCTGGATCACCTAAATCAAATATGCAGGTATGCATCCAGTTAGATGGATGATCACCTAACACAAATATGCAGGTATGTTCACATCCTTGTCTTAAGAAGATGTTTTCTTCAGTTTCTGAGAAAGGAAGTTGTAGCACTGGTCTTTTCACTTAGCTTAGCAGCAGCTTAACTCATCCAATCATAGCCTCTACAATTTCTTTTAATTAGCTTATCAGAAAAACTATTTTCTGTGGGTGAATGTTTACTTTGTCTACCAATAATAATTTATCTACAAACTTGTCTGTATGTAATATCGTATTTCCAGTAACTAGTAAACTACAATCAACATTTGAATAAGCGATATGAACATACTTACGAAACATTTCATATACTTGATATCATAAGTTCATAATACTGCACAAACTACTTCATAAGAAGTTATTAAAAATAAGCTGAAATATTTTATTATGTCAACAGTATCACATGTAACTTCATAAGTACTTACTCTTGAGAATAAATTTCGATCTGAAGATACTGCTAACATTCAATAAATTGATTTTGATATTCTGAAACAAAGGGATGTGAAAAGTTTGCAAAAACACGGAAAATAGAATTTTACATTTATGGATTTGAGCCCTCTACGTATTTTTGTTTTCTCAAAATTCCCAATATAAGATATGTTTCTATGATCGGCTGAATTCATTCATCCAAACAGTTGGTTACAATGGATGATACTGTTGCAAAAAAGTTTAATGTTACAGGTACTAAAAATATATGGCAGTTGGTGAAGAAGGCACTTAGAAATGTGATTTAATAACTGACAATAACATGTCTGTGTTACATTGGAAGACCAAGAACATCAAAATCAAAGGAAGAGCTTGTTACAAACTTCAACGGCAACCGATAGAGAAAGTCCTCATAAAAATGAAAGTCAAGGAGCTCTATAATAATGTTACAAAGAAAGGGTAAGGCTTAATCATGTTCTCAACTTGATCCAAAATTCTCAACATATCAACCCCAAATAAAACTGTATGGTCTAAACCATTGTTTCTCAACCTTTTGTTTCTTGTGGTTCCCTTTTGAGTTTGATTTACCTCTGTGGCCACACCCTTCGCAGATGCTGTTACTTAGGAAAAAAGTTACTTTATTTCCACACTGTTGATTTATAATATTATTTTTACAATATTGTATTGTTTTTAAATATTTTATTTATAACATAATGTTTACTTATGCTCTTGAGAATCAGTCAAAAACATTCACAGACACCAGACAAACATTTTGATTGTTACTCGAGTACTAGTCGTGTCTGGTAACTTGACTTCTGAGCTGTGAGGGATACAGAGAGAAGGGAACCTTTGATTCAGTTTTAAATATTTTATTCAGGTTGTGATGTTTCGGTGGCCCACTAAGACTTTACTGTGGCCCCCTAATTTTCTGTCATTCATGTGTGGCCCCTAGGGGGCCATATGTCCCATATTGAGAACCACTGATCTAAACAAACAGAAAAATACCTGAAAATGCACTAGAATGCAGGAAATGGTATTTCTTTTTTTTAGAAATTGTCAACAGGATTACATTAAGGCTACTAAAACAATTAGCATCTTTCTTTTAGTTAGTACTATTAACAGAGGATTTTCAATCTGAACTGAAAGCTTTTGATGAAGTAACTTGTCTGTGAATATACTATTCTAAAAGAGTATAACTCGTTAGTATAATACTTACATCATTAATTTTTGGTCATCAGCTACAGAACCAAATAAACTTTCATGTAGTAAGTGCCAAGCAACATCCTGGAAAATAAACATAATTCAAATTTTTTTGTTAAACAAATTATGTAGTAACAAGAGTAAGTTGAAAGATACTATGTGACAACAACCACTTATTAAACAAATTACAGGTGCCTATCAATACATAGCTATAAATCAAAATTAGAAAAAAACATGCACAAATTTAGCACACTTGACTTGTGTAAAATTACAGTCTCACCAAAGTTGTGTGTATTTGTAAAACAAATGACTCCATATTAAACCTAGTGTAGTCTTATGACCTTACATCTTTACCCTATCACAGTGGGCTTATTGTAACCACGGTGATATACATGCTATGACCGAAAGTACTTAATGTATGTTTACAAAATTTGGCAAGCTTTCAGTAAACTTTGAAAGTTTTTTTTACTAAAACTTTGTCCTTAATTATATGATGTCAATGTTGACTGCTCTGAGTGCAAAGTGATTTTCAGAACTTTCATATTTCATTTGCATAACACCTAAAACTACCTAAATAAATATCAAATGTTGTTTTTTTTTCACAAAAATTTTATATTTTATCTGAAGTTTTCTTTACCCTATCTCTATATGAGGTTGGTTGATTTGACCGACCTTGTAACCACCATAAAAAAATTAGAAAAATAATTATAAAATAAATTTCCCCTATTTTATTTCTGGAATGACAAGCAAGTTATAAAAGAAAACCACAATTATTTATCCTATGTAGCTTAAAGCTAGTAACAGTATGCATCTGTTTATACTTACATTTTATTACTTTATTGTCCTTTGAACTGTGTCTAACTAATAATCCTATCACACAAGTTGTAAATCACTTGGCAAATGTGTAGTTCATGTTACTATTGAATTATGTAATGTATGAGTTACTTGAGAACATATCTCATGATAAAAGTTTTATTCTTATTTGTCTTTATTTTACATAACCTAACCTTTTCTAAAATAACAAGTTTCTAATTTTTACATTTTAGTTACTTTAATAATAACAAATATATGGAATACACATGAAAAACAAGAAATATAGTACTTACCTGGGTAATTTTTTTTTACTGTAGATGAAACTTAACCCTACTTTTTTTTTTTTTATTATACTAATGGTACTACTGCAGTAAATAATGTTTTATTTAATTAAATAATACACCTAAGAACACAGAATAATAACATCTAAAAACCAGACAATGTCCTATTTCTACCTCAATTTTTCTGGCTTTCTGATTATGCAATAAGAGATGTTAAAAATTCAGCTAATCTCATGAACTGGAAGCAAAATAAACATTTCTCTGTACAAAAAAGAATGTAATATAATACATCATTTGATAGTTTGTAGATAAGCACAAAGCTACACAATGGGCTTTCTGTGCTCTGCCCACCATAACAGATTAAAACTTTGGGTTTTTATAAAAAATATAGTATTAAACATCGGGGAAAACTATTGGCAATTTGTGAAAGAAAGGATGTGGCAGTGGGGGGGGTCTCATTTTCTAGTTAATAGTCTGAAACCAAATACGATTGAAGGCTATAAAAATTATGCTTTGCCTGAACAATAATTATGTTATAATGAGTAATTTATGTCAAATTCTATACTTCTCAGAGGGATAGTAAATAAATTAGAAAATGGGGAAAATATAGTTAGCAAATATTGCAGTTCTCGTACTAGGGGAGACGGAGGACATTTCTTAAAACTCAAATAATATTAAAAATTTGATTCATTAACTATGTTTTGATGCCAAATTTATTCATATACATTGACAATAAAATAGTTTAAATAAACTTTGAATGTAACTCTGTAAAAAGTTGTGACGTGTTTGACCTACCCGATGCAAATGGGTTAATGGAAAATATGTCAATGACAGGACTTGATTTTTTTCACATACAACTGTAATGTTATCAGTTAGATTTACATCCAGTAAGATACACACAGACGCAAAAATAAATAGCCAAACAAACACAGCACTATTCTCCTAATATAGGTGAGTTTGTATGACAATGGTCAATTATGCCTCTACATAAAATACATTATTTATGACTGAAAACAATGGCCAATGTGATATATAAAATAAAAATGCAATGGGGGGGGGGGAGATGGGAAGCTTCACAACACTGTTACTTGATAAGTATTGTCACATGATGATTTTAAAAATTAAAGTTTTAACCCCTTCAAGATGGGTCACAGTTGAAAGGTCATGTCATCTCATTTGTTGACTCGCATTCAAAATTTTATTGAACTACTATTTCATGAATTTATATCAATAAGTTTGGTATCAAACTGTAGATTATAATTCAAATTTTAGAACTATACATTACTCAATTTCTTAATTTAAAGGTAAATATAAAAAAAACAGAGATAAGAATCAATTTTTGTGTGTCACATTGTATGCTGAATGCAGCACTGGTTCAAATTAGAAACTCAAATTACAGACATTAACAAGCTAGAATATAAAATGAGAACCTTCTATCTTTTCTATTTACTGAGATATTGCTCATGAACTGAATCAAACACAGTGGCACCCCACCCACCTCTTTCCATTTTTGGAAATGCTCCCTTAAATACACTTACTTCTATATATGACATCAATAACCAATTCGGAAGCTAGAATGTCTCCCTAGTGGTTTTCTAACGTGGTTAGTGCCATTTCTTTCTTTTGAACCAAGATTTCAATAAGGTAGGTTGTGTCTTTAGTCTGCTCAAAATTTCATTTTTTTTAGAGTAAAATAAATCTTAGTTACTAAACTTGATAAATTATAGTTGAATTCTATGTTATTGATGTAGTAATTTATGATTTTTTTAGTTATTTAAATGTATATATAAAACCTAAAAAAAAATACTTTGTTTTATATCCATGTGCAAAATTTTTAAAGGCTTAGCAACCTATGTCAAGCAGCAACTGAGTAAGGTCATAACTAGAAGAGATAATTGTTTGCTTTACTTCCTTATTTATTGTTCTATGTTTTAAGGAAAACATGTTTAAGAACTTATTTCAAAATAGTAACAATCTATATACATATATAATGTATAATAATTGAAATGTGACCGTATTTTAAAAAAATACTAGTCAACTAAAACACAACCAAGACAAGTTACTTTGTACAGACCAAAGGTCAGTTTTATGTTATTTGATACGGTAAC